CAGCCAAAAAATTGGCCAGCTCGTTATGCTTACACAATCAAACCACGGGGAGGTTTTTTGTTATCACTCGAAAAATTTAGAGTCGTCAACTTTTTCAAGGCCATAGATAGGCCTAAATAAAATATTTTTAATTGTGTACCAGTTGAACGTTGAATATTATTTATGATTTTAATTTTATACACAAGTGCAAAAATACTATAATTATGTAGATTGTGTTTTAATGTTGTATGTTTTATTGTTTTCTTTCAAATGTTTATTCACATCTGTAATATTGTAGGTATATGTATTTTTAATCAAACTGGGGATGAAGTTTTTTTTTTTTCATTTTTATGACATATCTCAGTTACTGTAATGGGATATAGCTGAGAAAAATCTACAGCCCAATAATGAGTTTTGCAGGAAGGGATGATCAAATGGAACTTAAAATTAAACTCTTCATTTACTATTAGTGATCCATCAAATAAATTTTTATCGTTTACAATAAAAATAATCACTACTTGTGAAATTATCTACAATATACATAACATTAACAGGGAGCATTCTGAAGTCTGTAACCAGTACATTAAACATATTTTATTGTAGTTGTAAATGTTTACTAGAAACTGACCTTATCCTGACTTATTTTCTACTATGTATTTTTTTTCGCAGTTCACATACATATATACATACACACGTATAAGTCTGTCATTGGCACATATTCTGTTATCACAGATGTACATTATACATGTCAAGAGAGAGGAGATGACACATTTTTCTTTTCACTTGCCCTACTACTATGGTTTGCATACTTACAGTACTTTGTGGATTACATTCCAGGTACTGCAATCATATAATTAAAGATGAGGTGAATGAACTTCTTAAGACAATGCTTCAGGATCTGGTGAGGTTTCAAGACAGGCTTTATCACAAGGACCCTGTAAAAGTAAGTTCCTGTCCTACAAAGCATCAAAGTGCTGTTTAGAAACTAAGCAATGTGATCAGTATGTCAGTATCATGCAAGTTGGTATAGCATGTTTAAACTGTAATTCACATAAGTGTTCTTAATAGCGTATAGAGAAAATTGTAATTATCACTATATCTTCTATGAAACTGAACTGTTTACATATAGAATATATAAATCAGTGATGTTATTTAATTTCTGATTTGTAGGGTATTTGACTACTGTAACTAAATGTTTTGTTTTATTAACTGATAAAAACATTTTATAATATGTTCCAATTTTTATTGCAACATAAAAAACATCCATTATGGCTTTTTTTTTTCTTGACTGTTATTACAGGTTGTGAGACATAGATACATTAAGTTTCCCATGACTTGTTTACCCAGCAATACTGACTTGCCAACATGTCACTTGTAAGTGACAGGGCATAAAATAACAAAAGAAAATGAATTACATTTCTGTGTGATGCACTATAAGCACTAAAATGAAAAGTCACTCCCAGAAAAATATGGCATAATCTTGACATTTAAAAACCCACTATTCTGAAGCTTACCATTTTTATCTCATTCTTTTAACAGTTGCTAAGCTTGTTTTTTGCCAAGAGCCTCTCATGTTGCAAGACACTTAAACTGTACCTTTTCATAGGAAGTTAAAAGAAACAAAGGCTTTTTAAATTCCTTAATTTCCTTTAAATATACATATGTACATAAAATACATCACTTGTAGACCATTTCCATTCATTGCCATCAAGGACAACCTCAGTGAATGGTACTTTGATCTCTACGTGAAAATAGTTGAAACTTTTATAATTTAAGTATAGTTCTTGTTTTGATAATGCAGAACACAAAATTGTTTACACAACTTTAAGTTCATTGGCTGGATTGTGTTCATAAAGGGAAAAATGGAATTCATGTTGTATTAATATTAACTTCTGCTTAAAGTAGACTCCCTACATAAACATTAAGCGTATATCTTTCTATGCTATTCTGGCTTGCATATGTTAATTTTTTTCTTCTAATTGCTAACTGCTTTCATAGTTCTAGCACATTTTCAATCAGTCTTTTTCTAGCTGGTCTGATTAAGATTCCTTCAGTTTTTTTCTAATATTTTAAATTAGATTCCATCATCTGAACTAAGCTCATATCACAGGTGATGAAGTTACATGGCTTTTTCTATAAATGAACCTTTTTATTGAATTATTTGTTTTTAGGACATGGTTGAAACTTTTATAATTGTAAACATAGTTCTTGTTATGATTTTTATTATCTTTTGGTAACACAGAACATTAAATATATATAGCTAAATAGGTATACTATTCTTACTTAAAAAGATTTGTTATTCTTGTTAATTAGGAATATATCAATAATGTTTACTAATTGTTATGAAAGGCCTGTTAGTGGCTGATACACTATATGAATGATAATCAGAATGTGACTGTCAATTCTAGTAACTACAGCATAACTTATTGTTGTAATGTTTCTAAAATGAGTTTAATAATGTTAGAATGAAATGGTAAGTTGAAATTAGAACAAATATATCAAAATATTGTCTCCACTATTTCACCAAGCAGGTTGCCCATTAAAACAGCTCTTTTCTTATGATATTCCATCTGTCAGTTCAGTTCTTGATAACCGTGCTGATGAATTTATGAATGTAATACTTTGAGAGTAAGAGATTTTTAGTATTATTCGTATAATTTTTTATGACTCGCTGTGTAATTGCTCTGTTAAAACATTTGTTTTGATGTTTTTTTATGTAAATTCTTAATTATTTAGCTTGATATTTATAGTTATAATAGTGAGAGCTATTAACCAGTTTGGCAATGAATTCTTTAGAGATAAGATTTCCTATAGCCAGCAAAATCATCCTTGAATAAATAAAAATCGTATTTGTCTTAATTATTACCTCTTTGGAAAAATCAATTGCTCTGTAACTACCTTCATGTGAATTACAGGTAAGCCAGCAAATGTAACTGTTAGAAAATTAAATTGTTTTATTTATCCTATCCAATAAACAGTAATGGGATATAAAGTCTTGATGTAATGAGCCATTGTTTGTTCTGTTCAGGCCAAAATGAAGAAAAGAATGATTGTTGGATTAAGGGAAGTCACTAAGTATTTAAAACTGAAGAAACTAAAATGTGTTGTGATTGCACCAGACCTAGAAAGGACCCAAACTTCTGGTAATATTGTTTTTATTGAAATTAATGCTTTTGCTTTTTTTGGTTATTGTTTTGACGTAATAACACAATTTTTATGATAATAAACACTGAAAAAACATACATTTTATATAATTTATATTTCAGTACTTTAAAAAAATATTTAAGATACTTTTTTTAAAACATATGTAATACTTTAATTGAAATTACCTAATTATATACCAGTAATAGGAGAAAAAGCAGTATTTTCATTCCATATATGAATGCTTTCCTGTTTTACCCTTTACATTTCTATCATTGATTCTTGTGTAGATGTTCTGTGTATAAGCAGCAAATCAATTGAACAATTAAATCTACCTTAGATGGCAAAAAAAACACTGGAAATTTCCAAAGTTTAAAGTATTTACTGACCTGCATTGAACCAGCACAAAAAGCCATATGTGTGTAATTGCTACTCATCTCTAAGAGTAGCTTTTACTTTTTTTTAAAATCAGAAAGCATTAGAAATACCACATCTGAATCAATAAGGACATTAGGAATACCACAGCTGAATCAATAAGGACATTAGGAATACCACATCTGAATCAATAAGGACATTAGGAATACCACATCTGAATCAATAAGGACATTAGGAATATCACATCTGAATCAATAAGGGTATTAGGAATATCACATCTGAATTAATAAGGGTATTAGGAATATCACATCTGAATTAATAAAGGTATTAGGAATACCACATCTGAATCAATAAGGGTATTAGGAATACCACATCTGAATCAATAAGGGTATTAGGAATACCACATCTGAATCAATAAGGGTATTAGGAATACCACATCTGAATCAATAAGGGTATTAGAAATACCACATCTGAATCAATAAGGGCATTAGGAATACCACGTCTGAATCAATAAGGGCATTAGGAATACCACATCTGAATCAGTAAGGGTATTAGAAATACCACATCTGAATCAATAAGGGCATTAGTAATACCACATCTGAATCAATAAGGGCATTAGGAATACCACGTCTGAATCAATAAGGGTATAAGGAATACCACATCTGAATTGGTATAAGGAGAGTTTTCTGAAATATTAGCATAATATGGATTTCATGTAGATTGACTTCAAAACAGGATGCTTACAAGGAACAATAAAATAAATTTCTCGTGTATGACATCATGTTATTTTCTTTACTTGTAACACTATAATACACATAATTATTACTTCCTTCCCAGTAAGTAATGAACTAGTTTTATTTTACAATTAAGAAATAGTTTAATGCTGTGGGTATTAAAACAGGACATAATCACCACTGATGTTTACATTTTACTTCCTGGTTGTATGTGTAGCTTTCTGGAATGTTAGCTCTACCCTTTATCATCAATAAAACATCGTTACAACATTTGCCTACATTAGACTTGTTGGTTAAAACCAGAAGTTGGTTCTTCCTGTATAAAGGAAAACTGACTACTTTAACGTGTGTGCTTAATAGCTTGAAATCATTATTGGAAGTTTTAAGATATTATAAACCTTTTCTGAGTGAAAACTTGATCAAAAGGCTGTCCTGCTTTCATCATACGAGTTGTATATTTGTCACTGCAATGTATGACATAGCTTACTAACATCTCTAGTATTCATATTTGCTTATAATCAAGATATTGATTATAATATACTGCAATGTATGACATAGCTTACTAACATCTCTAGTATTCATATTTGCTTATAATCAAGATATTGATTATAATATACTGCAATGTATGACATAGCTTACTAACATCTCTAGTATTCATATTTGCTTATAATCAAGATATTGATTATAATATACTGCAATGTATGACATAGCTTACTAACATCTCTAGTATTCATATTTGCTTATAATCAAGATATTGATAACATCTAATGAATAATAGTCACCGTCTAAATGTTGAGTAGTCGATACAAGTTTTGTGAAAAAATACATTATCAATAACTTTCCCATTCTCCCACTTACAGATAAAGAATCATTTCACTTTTAAAAGTTTGATTACCATGTGACTGTATAAGATGCATCAATGTGTTACATCTTCTTTCCAACAATTACATCATCATCAGATTTTCATAGACTTTCCTGAACTACAGTCTATAGTGCAATGTGTTCAAAAATATTGTTTTTATTTTGTAACTACTTGTTCTATTATGTGTTTTATTAGAATATCAAATATATATATCAATTTCAAATTTCAGGTGGGTTAGATGATACTTTGCAAAAAATCCTTGATCTTATCGATGTACATAATGTGCCTCTTGTCTTTGGGTTGACTCGAAGGCAGCTTGGTTATTTGTGTATGAAAGCTGTTCCAGTTAGCTGTATTGGAATATTTAACTATGATGGAACTGAGGTATGTATTGTGTAACATTAGTTGTATGTTTGTTATCACCCAGTGGAGTGATGTGTAGAAGTTATGCTAGTTAGATTTGTTGAATATTCTGTTATGTTCAAACTTGCATGTTCAGTGTCATTAGTGTGAATACAAAATGTGTTAAAATCCATGGTATTTAAAGTCAAAATTTTGAAAAAGAGTTTTTGAAATAGCTGCACTACCTTTCTAAATTTTATTATGCTGTTCTTTTGCTACTCAGGGTTTACAACTCTAGGGAAACATACAGATGTATAGAGAAGGTATAGAACAGTAAAGTTATGTAAGCTTTCAAATATGTGGGTGTCAATATGAATTATTCTTCTAAACCTAAGACTTAAAAAAATATAATCAAACAAAAGAGTCATTAATGAAAACTGATACTAAAATTAGCTTATTTCCTCAAGAAGAGGTTTGGTGTGATATTTGTGCAATTAACACATTTCCTAACAGATTTTTCTTTTATGAAAACTGGGACTTGAAAAACTCATTGCATTCATCATTTTTAACAGAATGATTTAGCTATGTTAATTCACACACATTATCATATTATAAGATTAGAGTGGACTTTGCAAACTTTTTATAGAATTACTATCTTTTATACCATTCCCTAAGATGTCCTTAGGTGACAGCTACAAAAAATTCTAAAACGTTTCCCATGTCTGGTATTCTTGACTTGGAGGAATAACAGCCCGCATGTAAACTATCCTTGCTTAACAAGAGGTTCAAAGATTTGGATGGATGGAATGTTAATACCAGAGCAAGTCCAGAATAAAAGAAACAAACATATTACATATTTCACATACGATCGTGTTACTTGACTTCCAGGCTGAGGAGATAAACTTGAAGTAAAATAAAACTGAATGTAAAGAATAATGTAGTGAACTTACACGATCAGCAGAAGCCCTTAGATTAACAAGGATGAAACTTAGCAGAAAGTTTTGTTTCTCCAAAAAGACAAAATGCTTTCCTCAGAGATCAGAATGAACCTCTCCAATCAGCTGACCAGTCAGAAAAGGGGCACTGAACTATGTAAACATCTCTACTCCATCTGGTAGCTACAGAGCATCCTTCAAACATAAGGTCAAGCATGATGCAATGTAACTATCCCATGAAACAGCAAATAAGTTCCTTGACATATCAAGCTACAAAATATAACACCTCAAGCTGCAATGTATTGTGTGATATCAACCAGATTTAGAAATTTCCACAATCAGAAATGAATTTTGTACATAAGAAACGTACAATATAGGAAAGTAAGTTATGTAGTATTTGTGTACTACACATTTTATGTAATCACATATCCCAGAAAATTGGGCCAAGCATGGCCTATTGATCAGTCTGCCCTCACCATGAACCTGAGACTTCATAGTTCATGGCCCATTGTTACAAAAATGGACTCCACTCTTTCAGGTTGTGGTTGATGTGCAATAGAAGCGATGGTCGAATCACACTATTTGGTCAAAAAATAGTTGGTGGTGGGTGTTGTTAACTAACTGTGCATTTGTTTATTAGTTCAAAATCCTTGTTTTACTGTACACAAAAATTATAAAAGAAAACAAACCTTCAACAGGTCCTTGAGAAAAATTACTAAATTTTGCATGCATTTTATATGTTATCTGCAGTTTGTGTGTATACAGTTTGTTTATATATTTCAATCTTTATGAGAGGGGACAGTGGCTAAATATAATGAAAAAATAAATACCATAAATGTATATTCTTTGGGCCTTAGTAATTTTAAAGATCAAAGTCAAACAGAAATTAAACTTTATATTTGTTACAAAAATTCTTCATATCGTAGCTCTCAAATCATAGTTGTTCATAAAGCTCAAGAGATCTCTCAAGTGAATATTCCAAATATTTAGTAAAGAACTGTGTTGCTACTTTTCTTAATTTCATATATGGGTCCAAAAGATCTCCAAGATGCATTTTCCAGGTTTTCAAATACAAATTTATTGCTTTTTTCCACCTTTAAACTTTCTGAAATTATTATTTTGTAAAGTGAAATTGTATACTAATTTTTTCTGTTATTTCTGTGTTTTCAGGATGCATTCAAAAAAATTATGGAGCTTGTTAAAGAAGCAAAAAAAGAATATGATGATCTTTTGAAGATGCATATAGAAACACTTAAATCAACTTCTGGAACATTTCAAGATGTAAATCTGCAGAACTGTGAATCGACATCATGTACTATAACCAGTGAAAGTGACTCACATAAAGGACCAGAATTGTGTCCACCAGTGCAAAGCTTACTTCAGTCATTGTTAAAATGCTCTAATGAAATTGCAGATGACAAAATAACAAATTCAGACTCCGAAAACGAAACCAGTAATATTGATGATTGTTCTAAGTAGGCTAAAGGAAGAGTGCTTCTCTAATGAAAATTGATTACCATTTTCTCATTTATGTAACATTTATTCTTTTCAGCACATCAGAAAAAAACAAAAAACTATCTTGAAAAGTACCTTTAAGTCATTTTAAACTGTAAACAAATAAATAGACACTGTCAAAATTATCGTCTCAATTATCTGTTACTACTCAGCATATTTTAAAGCATGGAAACATGTTTTGTGCAATTGGCTCGACAATTTTTTCATTTCAAAGCTAAAGAAGTCGGATATTATTGAGGAAGAATCATTGTACCACAGAGAAAGTATTAAAACAACGATAGCATAAAACTATATTCAAACCATCAATTTTCTATTCAATGGGAGTTCTTTTGCTATTCGTATCAGTTTTTGAAATTGAATTTCCTTGAAAATTGGTTGGACATATTTTTGTATAAAATAAAAATTTTTACTAATGATCATTCCCTCTCTGTTTTAATTGAACTTGCTGTGCAATAGATGCTGGTAATCCAATTATGGAGTGACTGTTTTAAAACTGTAAGAAAGATGAGCTTTAAATGATAAACAGCCTTCTAACAGACTTAATCCTCTTTACACATACAAGTAATTATCTTAAACATCAAACAGTTTTTAATAATAATAATATTTACAAGTATTTTTTTTTGTAGAAGTATATACCTTTAGTTAACTAACTTTGATTCATGAAGGCAGACTGTTTCAAATTAAACAAGGTACAATAATCAATCATCATATAATCTGTGCCAGGTCATTATGCAAGAATTACAGTATTTTTCGGAATATAAGACGCACCCTTATTTTGAAGACAAAGTTTTCGGGGAAAAAAGCTACAGTCGCATTTGAAAGATTTTTATTGAAAAAAATACAATTTGATGCTTTGAAAATTAATATATATTGTTCTAAACACAAAAGAGCTCAAAACATCAAAATAAGAAAATACCGTTAATCAAAAAAAAGTTTTACTGTTATTTAGTTTGGTTCAAAACCTACAAAATCTTCATTGCTTTCACTGTAATTTATTTTTTTATTATTTAGGAAACATTATAAGTAGTTAAGTTTTTTAAAAGAACAAAAAGCTACTATTGTTATAAATAAC